CGGTTCTCAAGACAGCGACGCTGACTTGTCCCCGCCCCATGACTTCAGTCGGGACTTCGAGTCTCCTCCTGGTAGTAACAGCGGTGATAAGCTCCACGGTGGACACCACCACCACCACCCGCCTCCTGATGCCGGAAGCGTCGATCAACACTCCGATGGCAAAGGTCCTGACAACAAACACCCGAGAGACCATGGCCACCGACACCACGGCATGCCACCCCACGGCAGTGATTCTGGATCCTGGCGTGACGGCAGCGGTGGGCAATTTCCCCCTCGTCCAAACGTTGGCGAGGATTTAACTCCGGGTGATCCAGGTCGCCAATTGAGAGCCAACAAGCCATCTGAGAACAGCAACAACAGCGGATCAGCTCGAGTCCCCCGCGACAGTTCGTGGCACGGCAGCGGAAGTTTTGATGTGCATATTCCTCGTCCACCAAATGCTGGAGAGAAGCCTCTGGCATCCAACGGCGAGCGTGGCTCGAAACCACCGAAAAACGACGGCTCGCCTGGTGGCAACCCTCCACCACTGCAACCAGACAGCAGTGTTGAAAGCAACTAACTCCATTGTGCCAACGAAGAGGCCTCAATGAAACACCGACAATGAGGAACGCTCGTATACTTCCTCACAAAACGCGGCATCTCGATTACCATTCATAATCTTCTTATCGAGAAATACACCACCACAATATTTTCTCTTTATTGCCTCAAAACCACATGCGCATCGAGACTTTATCTGCCCAGGTATCTTATCGTGGTATGGCTATCGCATCGGTAGGTACATGTAGATTGCGAATATCGAGGTTGTCGTGATGATCGGTCCTTGAACTTCAAGACCAATCTTCTGCTTGGTGGTCCACTACCAATGGTGGGATCCCTCCCACCACTTGAATCATTCTCCAAGTCTCCGCTCAAAGCACAAGTCGACTGGCAAAATGCGCATTCTCCGACTGCTAGTTGCATCCCTATTGCCTCTACTAGTGTCTACATCACCAGTGAACACCATTCCACCAAGTCGGAATGACGTTTGCCTCGACGACGCCTCAATCCCATCCATATCAACAATTCTCAACACCAATACGCCCATGACCTCCACCTCATCCAGTGAGAAGAAGAATCTCCCGGTTTTCTTCTTCCATGGTCTCACCGGCAACAGCACGGAAGGTTTCAACTACCAGGCAAATCTCACAGCTGAGGGCCGAGTCTTCGTTCCATTGGCTTTCTGTGAGCGAGAATGCTCATTGACGGCACTAAATATCCAAGTTCCAATGGCCATTGCAGCAGTCCGAGAAGTAGTGGCAAACGACGAGCGTTTCGCGAGTGGATACATCTTCATTGGTCACTCGCAAGGAGCTATGATGGCTCGTGCAGTGATCGAGCAAATGGACGACCACAAGGTCCATACGTTCGTGAGTCTGGCTGGAGGTGTCAACGGCGTCTTCTACGGTCCACAGGAGACCGATCGCAACTCCATTCACGACCTAAAGGCCGGTTTTGGCGCTGCAATTTTGCCTCAAAATCTATTCGACTTTACGGATTATACACCAGAAGAGTACCGTGGTAAAATGCAGACCGACCTTGTACGTCGATCCATGGACCCGACGATACAAGCCGCGTATTCTATCACGAATTTATTGTGGATGCCAGTGCGAGACGTGTGGCTGTCGACGAATCCGTTTCTTCCTATGATCAACAACGTCAATTCATGCGCGTGGTTCGATTTCTATTGCCACATGGAGAAGATTCGACGTAAAAACAATTTTTTGAAGCTGAAAGAGGCGCACTACTTCGCTTCTCCAGAGGACGGCGTGTTGTCGCCGTGGCAAGCAAGTCACCTTGGACACTACAGTGAAGTGAATTCGTTGGAAGAGATTGAGACTCAATTTGAGAGTTTAACGATTGTGGAGATGCACGACACGGTGGAGTACAAGGAAGACACGTACGGTTTACGCACTTTGGACGAACGTGGGGCATTGTTCCGTTATACAGCCTCAGAAGTTCCTCACTGCTGTTGGCTGTACGACTTTCCCAAGTTCCACACGGACGGATTGTGCGAGTTCCATCCTCTCTACGATAAATTTGTGTACAAAGTGCTTTGGTAAAAGATTTTTGTGGATAAGGACTAACATTTTTTACTACATAGTACAAAAATTCTAGTCTTACTGCTTTTGCGTCAGGAACGGGTAGTCCGTGTAGCCCGACTCGAGTGGCACACCCGGCTGTGGGTAGAACGTCTTCACATTCTGTGCGTTAAACTCAGCGCCGATACGCAGACGCTCCACGAGATCCGGGTTCGCAATGAAGTCGCGTCCGAATGCCACCAGGTCAGCGGCGCCTTCTTCCACTGTCTTAATCGCGTCTTCACGGTCGTAACCAGCAGCAGTAACCAGGACGCCCTTGTAGGCGTCACGGAAGTGGCGAGTAACCCCAACCTGCGGCACTTGGACGTTAGCCGCGTGCATGCCGCGACGTTCAATCACAAGGACGAAGGCGAGATCGTAGTCGTTGAGTTTGTTCACAACGTAGCCGTACGTCTCAGACGGCGTCGAGTCCTTACAGCCGAACGTGTCACCGAACGGAGACAAGCGGATTCCCACTTGACTCGAAGGCAGACTAGACAGAATGGCCTCCACCACCTCGAAGATGATGCGGGCGCGGTTCTCGATACTGCCTCCATACTTATCCGTACGCTTGTTCACGCCGTCACACAGGAACTGCTCGAGGAGATAGCCGTTGGCAGCGTGGATCTCCACGCCGTCAAAGCCCGCAGCAATGGCATTCTCCGCGGCGCGCTTGTAGTCCGCGACAATACCGGGGATCTCCTCGATCTCCAAGGCACGCGGAGTCACGTAGTCTTTACGACCTTCACGTGTGACAGCATGAGTGTGAACGTCATCGATGCTGGTCGCACTCGACGATACGGGGAGTTGTCCGTCAGGTTGGTTCAATGGATGACCCACTCGTCCAGTGTGCCAAAGTTGGACAAAGATCTTGCCTCCTTTGTCGTGTACGGCTTTAGTTACAGCCTTCCAGCCGTCAACCTGCGCTTGGTTGAAGAGTCCTGGAGCGCCAAAGTATCCGCGAGCCGTCGGACTGATGTAGGTGGCCTCGGCGATGAGAAGTCCACCGTCTGTAGCACGTTGAGCGTAGTGTTCGGCCACTAGAGCAGTAGGAACGCCGCTCTCTCCAGTACGCAACCGCGTTAAAGGAGCCATGACGACGCGGTGTTTCAGCTCGACGGGAGCTTTCTTGCCGCCCAGTTTGAAAGGTGTGAAGAGCTTTGGGGCGATAGCAGAGACCATGGTCGGTGTTGATAGTTAGTGTTGGTTTGTTGTTGGCAAATTGAAGAATGAGGTTAAGTGAGGCTCACAGTGAACTTGGTGGCATCGAATTAGTCTAGAAGCAGCAGCATTCCGCCAACCACCAGGCGGTCTTGTGATGACGGACGGTCTTGCTCGGTGTGACTTGTTTGTGACAATCAAATTGTTCACGTTATCATAACTCACCACTAAACAAAGGATTTGTAACAAATCGCCTTACCTACTACTTACTACTAGTACTATATATTGGTATTAATACATGTAACGCAATCACTCTTCAACATGCATTCTGTTGGAGATTTACTCTCGTAGCCGCTCCTTAGCCAAAGTCCTACACATTTTAAAGAAAAAAAAAAATTCTATAGCGACTGCCCAATGATGCGATACAGTACAGCCATTTTACTGAGGTGTTGCCTCGATTTGCACCGAGCTCTTGGCATACCAAACGCAATTCCATTAGACAGCAATATCGATGATGCATTCAAACTTCCTGAATTCATTTTTCATATTTGGTTTCACTCACGCAAGTCGATACTGGGATCCCAACCATCGGCTACACAATAATTTCCTCCGTGGTCAACTCAAGCGTCCGCCGTTACTGCTTATAGCTTGATCTGGTAGTATTCCTTCACTGGAACGTGCTTGGCGCCGCCATAAAAGTCGAGCAGAATGATGTTCTCGATTTCCAGAACGTACGGCAGGAATCCGTGATTTTCTGGCCAGTGCTCCATCTGCGGGTGCCTACAATTAATCCCCGATACAACATCAACACTATGCATAAAATCCACATCAAGATCCACATTACGCACTTGGAAAACAGCACTTTTTCGGCGTAGTGACGTTGATCAGCGGGTACCGGCACAACCTTGCCAGTGAGCGTGATCTTCCAGCATGTCGGGTCTTCCACGTCCATCTTACACGCGTGCTCGCCCTCCTGTGCCATCGATATCGCCACCGACGCCGTCGAGTTGACGCTCAAATCGGACCCTGCAGTGAAAATCCAATAAATTGTCAGCATTTCACTAACACAACGTTAACATCCACCGTACCTGTTGCATCCATTGGCGTCAGGTAGAAAAATAACTTGCCCGTCGAATCCTCCTTTGAATACCCCACACCGTCTAATGACAAATACACACCTTAGTATTCACGACAGCACATCCCTGGACTATAAAATTATACCCAGACCTACCGCTATAGGAGACTGTATTGCCGTAAGGGACCCCTCCGAACTGCACTGAGATCGTCGACAGTGTCGCCCATATATTGTCATGCACCAGTTGCCTCGCGTGTTGCGCCGGACTCGCCCCCCAATACCTATTTCACCAACCATCAGTACACCAACTAAAAAAAAAGAAGAATGTGAAAACTCACAAACTTTCCGTCTCAGCAAGGCGGAATGTGTCGGCGCGAAAGATCCCAACGTTTCGACGAGCCTCGACGCCAATAAGCCCCAAAACAACCAGGAAAACAGCGATAATCTGGTTAAACTGCTTCATCCTCCCAAGGTTTCGGCTGCTAAACTCCTTGAGCTTTAGGCGTCACTTTCGGTTCTGCGGATATCGGAGACCTTCCGTGTCATTTTCTACTTGAAGAGGGTGGTACGTTTATCCACCAATCAGAGTTCTTCGTTGTTGCTTTATCATCCAATTATCGAACGGAATGACGGGCATTGGCTTGAGGCGCGAGGTGCTGGCGCTCTACCGGGATGTTCTGCGCGTGGCGAGGGACTTCCCCGAGCGCAGCATCGGCCGCAAGCTGCAATATAATGCGAGGGAGTTGCTGCGTCTGAGACAGCGTGAGAGCAACGCTGCGCGTATCCAGACGCACCTGGAGGAAGGCCGTGACGCCTTGCGCGTGTACCAAGTGCTGCAAAACGACCCTGAGCTGCTCACGGCCATCACAAGGAAGAAAATACCGATTGCAGACACCAAGAAATAGAGTTAGCAAGCGCGTATAGCGAACAGATGGGCTGAACTGGTTTATTGTCGGGGTATGAACTACTAAGCTGCACTGCTTTGCTATCATATTCCCATTAACGATCACTTGTACTACTGCTGTATTCTAAACGCCCCTGCAGTACGTACATGTAATGCGGCCCCGCAAGTATCTTCTGAAGCTGTGGACACTTCGAAGTAACGCTCACGCTGCTTCCAGCCACGAGCAAATGCCCAAATCTGCTGCCTCGCAAGCGCGTCGTCGCCTTTCAGAAGCGGTGGTTGCACTCGCTCCCGATACGCGCGTGAACTGCACGACGAATTGGTCGGCAACCAAATGCATGCAATACCTTCAGACTTTCGATGCACGTGCTTAGGATGCTGCTGCGATGGCTGCACCTGCGTATTCAGCCGGGAGTATGCTGATACGCACAAATGGAGCACTAACGCATTGTAGAAGGTAGTGTGGACGGGTTGGTCTCCAGTGTGCTGTATCAAGGCGACGCTATGTCTGCCCAATGGCAAATAGTGTTTTTCAAGTTAGTGACCACAACTTGTTGTCGATAGCGGCACAGCATTGGCTCTTAGGGTTGAATGCTCCACCTACTCCTTTAGGTAAGTTTTTTTCCCTTGCTTTTCTTAAGAAAGCTAACATTACAAACAGTATTTGTTGGTTTGAGATGTGTTTCGTATAGCAACATGTCACCTTGGATAGTTACAACACATACTTAGATGTACCACAACTGCGACACAAAAAAGCATCTACGAATGGTGTGGCTCCATACCAGCGCGTGGATCTCCCAATAAAGCTGGCTCAACTCGATGTGGTGGAGACTTTGGCCACAGGGAAAAAGGCTCCAGCGAAGAACTCGATAGAATCAGGCAAAACCTGTCTCTTTAAAGATATTCAATGTCGAATAGACTGACGTGTGTATATGAATGTAGGGCCCTCATCGAGGCTCAAAGTGACTCGATGTTATCGAATTGCTATCAGACCCCACGATAAACGAGGATGGGTGGCTGATACCGGTGCTGGAACCATCGTGAACCTTTAGCTGCGCAATGTGCAAGTGAATCGCAGCGTGTCGACGCGACGGACGTCGAGATCCCTGATGGCACCATGATCCTCTCACGCGCTTTTGTCGACATCGAACCGATTAAGGGCCTTAACGTCCGGTAGCGAGCTGTGAATGCTTCAATATCGTATTTGACGTCAAATTTCGCAACGTAGCGTTAAATACTTAGGGTAAGTCTCGAAGTATTAACTTGGTTTGAAGTTTTGCTGGTGGCTTACGATCAGTACTCCAGCAGATTTGACAAAATGTCTTCACACTCCTTTCGAGGGTTGTGATACTTTCATGGTACCACACTGTTCCTTAGTGAACAAATAATCTGTATACGAGGATTTGGAACTGAAGCAGAACTTGCCGACATCTCGGCTCAAATACACTAGCTCTACGAAATCTGCCTGTGAAATCTATAATGAATATCAACAAACGTTTTTTGACTGCATCTAGATACCTGGACGCAGTCAACAACATTTCCATAAGCGCACATTTACACTGAGGCTACTGTACACGCAGATTGAGCTTTAACGCTAAGATCAAAAAGAGAGGAGAAACTGACTGCAGTAGGACCTGTCTCAATAATATCTCACTTCGTCGTCGTGCATGTAGTTTAAACGACATGAGAGGGGGGGGGGGGAGGGCGCATTTTATAGCGCTTTCGCTGGACTCTTTCGGCTGCATAGCTCTGTACTAGAGGCTTGAAGCACCAAGTTGTGACAGTCGCTCTGAGAAACCATTGCATTTTAACAAGGTGCTCGTGCAGAACATGTGTACTTACATCAAAAAGCTGGATGTACCAGTACGCCGCAACTCTGACTCAGAGGTAATACCTGAGACGAGTCAGTCTTTAGATACGCATCAACTTAATACGCAAAGTTGCGCAACGCTACCCAGTCACTTTCTGTCCGTCACATGTTGAGCAGATACTTCTTCATATCTCAACTTCTTCTCTGAGGCACAAGCTTTCTCCACTGCTCCAGTCAACCATGGCTCTCGCTGTCAACAACACCACTACTCCAGCACTCTTTTCGTCATTGTCCCTCGGTGGCAAGGAAAACCGTGTTCAACTGAAGCATCGAGTTGTTATGGCCCCTCTCACTCGTGTGCGCTCTGGCGACTCGGGGGTGCCGACGGATGTGGTGAAGTTGTACTACTCACAACGCGCCACGGACGGTGGGCTGCAGATCACCGAGGCCACGAACATCAGCGCCACAGCTCGCGGCTACTTTGGTGCTCCTGGACTCTTTCGCGAGGATCAGGTCGAGGGCTGGAAGGCAGTAACTGAAGCTGTGCATGCAAAAGGCGGTAAGATATTCGCACAACTGTGGCATACTGGGCGTGTGGGTCACCCGCTGAATCAGCCAAACGGCCAGCTGCCGGTGTCATCGAGTGCTACCAGTTTTGAAGGCGTGAAGAGCCACGCCGTGACACGCGAAGGCCGCAAAGACTACGTGACACCGCGAGCTTTAGAAATCTCGGAAATCCCTGGTATCGTCGCCGACTACAAGCGCGCTGCAGAGAACGCTATCCTCGCTGGATTCGATGGTGTAGAAGTCCACGCGGCCAATGGATACCTGCTTGAACAGTTCCTGTGTGACGGTGTGAACAAGCGCACGGACGCTTATGGGGGTAGCATCGAAAACCGTGCGAGAATAATCTTTGAGGTGCTGAAGGCTGTGCTCTCCGTCGTTCCATCGAGCCGGGTGGGTATTCGTCTGTCCCCTTTCGGTGATACGTTTGGATGTAAGGACTCGATGCCACATGAGACGTACGGGTATGTGGTTGAGAGGCTAAACAATTACGATCTGGCCTATCTGCACGTAATCGAACGACGTGGTCGCCATGCAGACAGCGTTGACGCCCCGGCGGGCGGAGTGGCTCACCACTTTCGCGGCATCTACAATGGAGTTCTTATCGCGGCTGCGGGATTCGACCGCGTCGACGCGATTCGAGCCGTCGAGGATGGTATTACTGATCTCGTTGCCTTCGGTAGATACTTCATCTCAAACCCAGACCTCGTGGAACGTTTGCGCACCGATGCGGATCTGAACGCGTTCGACTCCAAGACATTCTACGTGCAGCCAGATATGCCCGTGGAGGCTGGATACACGGACTACCCATTTTTGGATGAAGAAAACAAGAGCGTTCGCTCAACTGGGTTCGCTTAGAAGCTGAATGCAGCTACAGGTACTGCTATTACTGCTACCATGCCACCTAGGTACGTTGTATCAGTAAATATATAGACTCCAGCTACACTACTGTTAGTGAGAGTACTGTAATTGCATTCACGTAGCTGCATTGAGGATTCATGTATTCTCAAAAACGCGACTTCAATTTTATTCGTTTTTAGTTCAGATTTTTATTTTTATAAAATGTTAAAATAAATGTTGAAGAAAACACTTTCTTTTAAAAAAGAAACAAATAAAAAGTCCAATTTAATCAAGGAGTTTTTTAGATTGCTAAAAATAAGGAGAAAAGCAAAATACGCCCGTAATATTGAAATAAAAGCAGAAAGGATCTTGCCTTTACCACTACACTCGTCTCGGATCGATTTTGAGCGCACACTTCGAGTAGGTTTGGTTCCAGAAATGCTAGAATGCTCTAGTGCTCCAGTATTTCGCTGACCGATGTCACTGTTGAAATTCATCGTTTCTAGTTGGGTTTTAAGGCTAAAAAGTAATCAAGGTGATCCCATTCAAACACAAGACCAGTAGCAAAGCCGCTACAACGTTCTATTTGTCTGAATATAGCTTAGGATGAAGAGCTTCCACTCAGCCGAACAGCCTCCTATTTTCTATGTAGAGCTAAAAAAAAGCGCTGAAAAACGGATCAGTTTTGATACTATTTTAATAAAACTGATTTCCGTTAAATCTATAACGTTATTTTAATCTTGCAATCCTAAATTTTAATTATGTCACGATAAAAACTTTTTTTTTACATTTCTAATTCGCCAGGTTAGGGGCCTAGAGAAATTGTCATCATGCAACGATGAAACGTTACGCTACCCTTAGCAAAGTTACACAACCAAACTGAGCGCAGCAAAATACTAATAAAAGCCTGAACAACGGTAGATACTTATGACGAGGGGTTCGCCCAAACTTGAAGATACAGGTTTCAAGCAGTCGCCCAAAAAGCTCTTGAATGTAGAAAGTAGTTTAAGCTACTTAAAGTACTTACTACTGCTAACGCCACAAGCATAAGCTGCTGAAAATTCGATTAATTTGATTATAATCTGGTGTTGGAGACCACGACGGGAAAGTATGATAATCTGAGATGAAGAGAGAACGCAGATAAATTTTAAGGTGTTCAGATGATGTACTGTACATGTAGTAGTCAATCTTTAGCGCAGATTATTCTGACGGGGCCTGTTATGTATTGTTATCCATTTCCCTCCACACGGGCTGAGAACTGCGAATCCCGAGTCGCAATACATGCAATTAGTTTTTGATCGCAAACTACAATTTATCAATAATTATCAGACAGCAAGCCGATTGTGGATATAACGAGCTGGATTATTCGTCACAGTAAAGGGGAGGTCACCTGGAATTTGAGGATCACTTCACTGTATACCAATATGGGATCGCGTGAAGATCATCGGGAATTCCTGTGTTTCCGTCGATGCAGATGTGGTGCGAAATTCACCAACTGTTTAACAGTCGTGCTTGGAGATCGCTTTGATGATCGCGAGGAGTAACGCTGATTAATTTTACGAGATTAATTTCTGTAGTGTTTTATATTGAAGGTCTTCAATGTTGCTCTTGATACAACTTGACGGCAAGGAGGAGAACCGCTTCGATGAGTCAAACAAGGCGAAAATGTACCGGCGGCGTCTGGATGGCGCATGGTTTCATGTGCAGCACACGCTTCCGCCACCATGTCTTCTTCCAGCTGTCTGCACGCACACTATCCCCGAGCTTAATACGTTGGCCAGTAAACTCGACCACCGATAGTCTATCGCTAATAGTGCAGCCAGCGACGCGACAACTTCCCACCCCCTACAGCTTCCCCGATGGTATCCCATGATGTGGAGTTTACGCTCCGCCACTAACCAAAGAAAACAAGTCCGCAAGCAAAGCATTGCTTTGAAAGCAAGCGCACGTTGTCTGGACTGCACGATCTGCCATTCCCTAATTAACCTGCTGAGGAACAAGCTCGATCCCAACACCATCCACCATGGTTAACGCTTTCATCTTCAAGACCGCCGCTTTGGTGTCGACGCTGCTTGCGTCTGCCAATGCCGAGCTGGAGACCGTCAAGCTCTCCCACCCGCACGGCTCCAGCGCCGAGGTGTTCCTCTTCGGTGCCCACGTCAAGTCGTTCCGTGCCGCCATGGACCCGAAGCTTGACATTCTGTTCATGTCGAACGAGTCCTTCATGGACGGCGTGAACCCCATCCGTGGAGGTATTCCCCTTGTGTTCCCGAACTTCGGTAGCGCCAAGGGATTCCCCAGCCACGGTTTCGCTCGTATCACCAACTGGACGCTGGCCAGCCACGAGGAAGCCGCTGACAAGAACAGCCCCAGCGTGGCCACCTTCACGATGGCGTCGAGCGACTCGACCCGCAAGATGTGGCCCGTTGACTTCGAGCTCGAGTACGAGGTGAAGCTGTACGCTAACCAGCTGGAGACGGCTCTGCACGTGCACAACACGCACAAGGAGCAGATTGACTTCCACGCTCTGCTGCACAACTACCTGTGGGTGGACGACGCTCGCAACAAGGGCGTGCAGGTGCACGGCCTCAAGGGTGTCGACTACTACGACAAGGTTGCTAAGGTCAACGCTACGGAGATCCGCGAGTACATCGACTTCGCTAACCAGACTGACAACGTCTACAGCAACGCCCCCAACAAGGTCAGCGCCATTATTAAGGGCGTCAACGCTGTGGACCGCACGGTTACGGTTGAGAAGGCCGGCTTCATCGGCGGCTCGGCCAGCCAGAAGAACGTCGAGACCGAGACCGACGTCGTCGTGTGGAACCCGTGGGCCGACCGTGCCAAGACCATGGAGGACTTCGGTGACGAGGAGTACAAGAACATGGTTGCTGTCGAGCCTGGCCGTGTGTCTGTGAAGCAGGTTCTACCTGCTGGCGAGACGTACACGCTGCAGGAGACCATCTCGGTCACCACGCTGTAAGCGATGGACGACGTAATTCCATGATGTAGATGTGTTGAATATTTTTGATGGAGAAGAGCTTGTGTAAGCTTGGTAGTGTCACCTCACCACCAAACAAATGCACCAAACCTAAATTTCCTTGTTACCTTTATTAGTGGGTGTCAAATCTCGTTTTAGGTCACACATTTAGGAAGATGGCTTGCAAGTGATTGGATAAAAATAAACCTCGAAAACACCTCCCAACCTCCAAGAAATTGTTTGGAGGTCAGATCGCAGTTTTTAGGTAGATGACAGCCAAACAAAGAATCTCATGGACTCGAGATGGTGGGGCAGGGGGAAAGACCTCTATGGACGTCCTTCTTGACTGGATTACCACCGAAGGGAACTATCGTAAGTGGAAAGGCGGCATGAAACACTCAGGTGTGTCTAAAGAATCACTGTGTGGGCTCATCAACGGAAGAATGATCGATGCTGGCATCACGCATCGTAAGAACGACAATATTCGCGAGAAGATCAAGAGCCTGGAGGCGAGTTTTAAGCGGGCCGAAGATTGGCGTGCTAACACCGGCCAAGGGGTTACTGACGAGGGCGATCTGAAGAGCGCCCTGGCCAAGTTGTGTCCTTACTATGATCAATTGGCTCCTGTCATGTTAGAGCGAGCGTCGACACGACCGTTGTATTCGTCCGACGCTCTGCACGATCGTGGAAACATAGATTCAGATAGCGAATCTGAGTCTGATGTTGAGAATCAACCTTCATCAATTGGGATTTCAGTGGCAAAATATGGAAGCAAGAAACGCAAGTCAGTCGAGGAGGAGTGGAATGATATTCGATCGTCAATGCTCAAAGTAAAACAGGAAGAAGACGCCAAGCGGATGAAGATCGAGGAGCAAAAGCTCGCTCTAGCTGTTAAGAAGGAGGATAGAGAGTCAAAGCTGGGTGAGGTTAACCTC